TTCAATCAGGCTCTCGCGACATTGATGCACTTTCGAACAAACAGACTGCTTATATCACGCGGAAGAGGTTAAGACCTTGGAAGAAGCCTCGCCCGATAAAGAACTGGCTCGGAGAACATGCACGCATGCGGTGCGCGGAATGCGCTGCATACATGCCGTGCACATGTCCAGCACGGAGGTCGCCTGACTCGATGCTTGAGCTTGCCATTTGGGTTCGGGGACTAAGGCACGCCGGAAACTCCACAAATGACAGCGGGATACTGCACATGGAGCCACTTTGTTCATGAACCGCCGACGGCTTGCTTGCCTTTGCCCATGAATGGGATTTCTAGGCATGCAAGATGGCCACGCAGAACTCGGGTATGTTGTGCTTGCAGCTTCCACCAATCGTAAAATGCAGATCGCACCTTGGCCTGTAATGTGCCTGATTCATCTGGTCACAACTGTTTGAGCTTGTGTGTTCAAGCCTGTGCCAGCCCCTTGTTGGGAGCAAAGCCAGAACTGTTCTTCCCTTCCTGACACGATGAATTGTAGAAACAGAATGGTTTTTGGCACCTTGAGTTACTGCAGGCATCGTTTGGTAGACTCAAACTTCTACATGCGCTACTCAGCAGAAATACATCACCGGCCCGGCACTCTGCTTGCAACAATATCCCTCAAGCTTCGTTGAGTTGAAGTTGCGCTGGGGAAGCCGTTCCTTTTTGTCATTTGTGGACTCGTGGCCAGCGCTGGGCGTTTTGACGCTGGACCCAGGTTGCTTCACTCCGTAAGGAAGGCTTTGGCTTGTAGAAATTTGTTTGGCTGTCACAGCTGAGACATCCAAGCATTCAGCTTCCCAAATCAGACAGCTTTCGCAGGACCGTGCAATCGTGTTGACGCTACTCGGCGAGACGTCGAGCACCCGACATCCTCGGAATCTTGGTACGCGGTTTCGTCCAATGCAAGGCTTAATCAGAGATGCGAAGGGTTGCAACGTAGCCATAGCTGGACTCAGCCTGACTCGCAAACACCGGCCGAAGTTCCTATGACAGGGCAGGACAATGCCCTAGTGCCAAGCCGTCGATGGTTTGCTAGCCACAGAGCTGATCTTCCAAGCGGCTTTGCTTTAGATGTAGTGCCACAACTTTAGCTTGCGTGCCTCTTCCGTCGGTGTGTGATGGAAGGTTCTGCCACTGGCACCTTGTCTTATAGCTTGCACTGCTGGCTGAACATCTTGTAGACATCACACAAGGCATGACATGCCTGGCTTTTGAGCAGTTAAGAGGAGGGCCAGCAAGCGTTGAAGCCAAAGACAGGGAGTAAGAGGAGCATCCAGTCTCGTACCCATGGATGGCACTTTGTGAGTTCTTGCCTGAGCCAATGCTCTGAAAATGGAGCTCTTTAAGCTTTTTTTGATCGGCGCATCGGTTTTTCTTGGCCTGCCAACCAGTCTCAGCACTGTCACAGACATCCCGAAGATATTGACAAGTCCAGAAATGTGGAAGGGTGAGTGCGCTACAAAGCTGTAGTGCACGGATAAGGTTCCTCACCCCAGCTCAAAGCAAGGTGCACAGGCAAACTCTGCGGCAACAGTCTAAGGAAGACAGCGGCACTCGGAATTTGTGCATTGGCGAAAACTCTGTTTGTTTGAGCCCCATCTCCAGAAATCTGGCTGGGCCGAAGCACATTAGCCAGACCGATAGCCCTGTGGTGATTCTGGATGGTCTTTGGCCCGCAGCAGCTAGTGGGAATAGGTGGCTGGATTTGTTTCTTTGTAGGCCCCACCCGTGGCAGGCACATTGACTGCTCGGCACTCGCAGGATGCCCGAGGACTGTATTCGGGGCCAAGGTGGCATTGCTTCACCCCTAGCATCAGTCACTGGGTTCGGATCATGTGTTGGTGCACAGAGGAAACGAGACAACACCATGAGAGGCTAGGCCAGATGTGCGTTGGCATAAGTGTTTACCTCCCAGACACCACACGAGGAAGCTCTCGCTGTGCACAACCTGGCAACATGAGGAAAGACTCAGGCTGACGTGAGATTTCCCCGGCTGCGCTTCGGCATCAGATGGCCTGCTGGTGCAAGCAACCTTAATTTAAACACATGCCATAAAAACGCCCCGCACACACGACACGTACACGCACGCACATGCCATCTACCCGCCAACTGCACTCCCTGGCAACATGCCATCTAACTCCACGTCATGCACAAAACACACCCACTTGCCTGTTTGGCACAGCGCTGGCAAAGCGAAGCCTTGAGTTGCCAGCCTTCACCTCGAACTTGCCCAATGATCACCCGATTGCGGCTTGCGCGTTGTGGGGTCAAAGTGTTTGCGCGGATTACGGATTTGTGCGGCTCGCGGCTAGCATTCCGAAAAAAGTCGGAGGGGCGCGGACGGACGGACCTATGCACGCAACATGCTCAATGGGACAGCCATGGGCCAAAGCCACGACTTGCAGCGGACGAAACAAGAAGACTACCAGGGGCCTCGGAGAGAGTGTGAAGTAGACGTGTTCTTGCGCGCTGCAAATTCTGTGCACGGAGAGGCTGTGTACTGACCGTTTCTGGAAGAACTGGAGCACTGAGATGCTGATGGCAATGGAAGTAGTGCAGCGCTGGACTGTGGCATGACTTTTGCATGGTGAGACGCAATATGCATGTTTGCTTCCAGAATGTCACCAGAGCAAGTGACAGGGTTTTGCAATTCAGAGACTCCAGTTCCTCATGCCAGGCAAGACTTTGCCGGCGGTGTGCGAACATGCCGGCATGTGCCTTTCCACAGTGCGGAGTCGTGTGAGTGATTGTGATGCAGAATTTCTGGAGCAGGAATGGGCTGTGGCACTCATGACCAGATTGGCAGAACTGGATAGAAGGCTTCGCCGTGCCAAATCTGCTACATTCGCCAGGTGTAGCTTGAAATCAGGCATGGCAGTTTGCTCCAGCAAAGTGGCGAGAGTGCAGGCTCAGCTGCAGACGGATGCTTCCATTTGACCAATGCTGCAGTGTCTTGGTTTTCGATGGGGGCTTCCCATGGGTCAGTGAAAGGTTCAACAGCAATATTCTGCCGACAGCAGGCCATTGGCTTTCGGCCAAGTGGGCCGCTCGCACTGAGCTAGTGGGATAACCTTGCGCTGCATCATTCCTGCCCAGAGGACAGACGTGGATGTGTGTACTTGTTTGAGGCTACCCTTGTCCGGTTGGTTTGTTGTAGGGACCAAGGTGCTTGTGGGAGGGGGAGGATCTCTTTCCGAGACAATATATTTTGTGAGAGAGCGTGGGTTTTGGATTTGAGATCTTCTGTCTCAGAATGTGCCTGACAGCAATCATCCTTGCAGGTGTTTATCATCCTGGCAGAAAGCCTCGTCATAATTGTGTTTGCCAAAACAATTGCTTCTTGACACAACATTCTGCATGCATGCTCCTCTCAGATGGGTTGGTGCCAAGACCGTTTTGTTGAAAGAGTTCAATGAGTTCAATGCTCAAATCAGTGAGTGCACGCTTCATTTTGAGTCGCGGAATGCAAGGGGCACACTGATCCCGTTTGTAGGCCCTCTTTTTTCGGGGAGTGCTTCCCTCTGAAAAAATCGCCTCTTCAAAACAATACCCTCCATTTGGGGGAAACAAACTTGTTTTTTTCAAGGGGGCCCTTCTCTTTAAAAGCGAAACCACTTTTTGTGGCCGCTTCCCCATGGCCAGCGAATTTCTGGGGTACTTCCTGACCTGGCAGGAGAAGTGGACACTCGAGCGCCGCAAGCGACGTCAAGGCAACGTGTTCTGCGGATTGGCCTCAGAGTCAGTTGGTTTGGGAACTCACTCGGGTCTGTGGGCGTATCTTGTCGGCGCCCTCTTTTGGGGGTGTACCCATGCCATGGACGCCGAGCCCATTTTGAGGGCGGGAAGCAGGTTCCCATGCAGCTTTGCCTGCAAAGCCCCAAGGAGTGTCCTCTAAGGTCGCCATCGCTGAAAAGCTGTGAATTTGATCTCAGCGACCAAGAAAGGCCTCCCCCCCCACCCCCATTTGTTGGCAGCATTTGATTCGTAGCCTCTTTCTCAATCTGGAAGCTGAGGATAGGAGAGTCTTTGAGAGGTTTCTTGAGAAGGCGTGTTCACTTCCATGGTTTAAAAGTACCTGGAAGATCAGTTTCCACGCGGGACCATATTCCTGGCAGGCGCCGATCGGTTCGTGGGAGAGAGGGTATAGCTTTCTTGTAGCTTTGGGATGTGCCGATCTACGGCAGGACTGGATCGCCCCGCCCCAGTCGATCTGAGTCAGCCGCGGCTGGGCTGCGATTGGAGAGCAATGCCCTGGCCACTTGAGGTTCGGGCAAAATCCTGCAGTTGGTCAGTGGTTTGAGCTTCATATTCAGGTTTAATCCATCCCAACTGGTGCTGGAGCTTCCCATCCACAGGGATGTGTTTGATTGGCAGCCATTTCATGTGGGGCTGCGTGTGGGCCAGACTCAAAAGTTCGACACGCGCGGGCGCAATTTGGAGGGTTCGTTGGGGGCAGTCCCAACCATGAATGGGTGCGGCAGTCCAAACCATGAATGGGTGCGGGTCTGGATTTGGGTTGAAAGATAATCAGGTTTGATCAAGTGACTCTCCCGCCGAGGTGGCCGTGGCCTTTGTGGGACATCTTCGCCTTTATTGGCCTTTACTGGATTGATCATATCAAAAGCGAGCGCGATGCAGCCAGATGTCGGCCGGAGAAAGTCACGCTAGATGTAGTTTGAAGTCTCTCAAGCCAGAATGACGTGCATCTTGCGGGCATTGGCTCAGGTGCATGTTAGCTCTCAACCCGAGTTTGCCTCATGCAGCTTACCTTGAGAGCAAAAACAAGTATGCTCCTCTACCAGGGCTGGTTTAGGCTGTTGCCTTGCAAGTGTATATTCAATTATACAAATACTTATGGCAAGTGCCCTGTTATTCTTGTATTTAGGCGGATCAGGGATTGTTTTATTATTAGATAAGCAATGACAGTGTATCTGAACAGATAGTATTTGTTGTTTATTGGGACTGCAATCAGTTAAGATCTATGACCCTTCAGCCATGAGCGATGAGCCGGAGGGAAGCGACGGCCAGGCGGAAGTTTTTGTTCTATTGAAAGTGGCCTTCAGGGAACTGTCCTGCGAGGTCGTACAAGATGAGGTAGTCTTGGATTTCGCCACGCCCTCAGTCTCAAGTGACAGACCTCGCAAAACACACACTTCATGGTTTGGTCGAGTCGAGATCGCAGGAAACAAGTCCTGGCGCACAGGACGTGGAGCGACACATGCAGCTGCGGCAGCAGCGGCGCTTGGGCTTGCCTCTGGGCACGCTGCCCTCCAATCCGCAGCAGAATGCGCAGCTCGGCGCGACTCGGAACGGAGAGTTGCCGCGTGAGGAAAGATGGGGCACCGATGCCTTAGGCGCCTTTTGCATATGATCCTGCCCAGTATCATGGCACCTCCAGCTCTGCACATTCCATTATCCAATCTGACACTTGGCCAAGATTGAGAATGTACGCAGCTGCACTGGAGCTCACGTAAAGCGGCGTCGCTTTGGTTTGCGCAGGACCTGACGGCGCGTGGCTACTTCGTTGTGAGCGCTTTGCGGCATGGATTTGATTATGCCGCTTGCCCTGGCACTCTCAAGTGGCTTTCAGAAAAGAAAAGGATAAAAAAACGCGAGAGATGCTGCAACTGGGGCGAGGTCCTCTACGAGGGAGATCCCTCGCGTCACCATGGATCACACTTTGTCATCGTCACCGAAGCGGAGCAGTCCATTTCGCCTCAGAAGCTGGTGCTGTGGTCGCTTGGCGGAAACATGAGACGTGCCTTTTGGCCGTGGGTATTCTTCTCGAGTCGCGGGGCGACTTAGGCACAGACTTGCCGCCTCGGCGCACAAGGCCATTCTGATCAGCAGCGTTGTCTCCGGATTGCCAAGCGCCTTGCTTGCAATGGATGGGTTTCAGGCAAGTGAACTGCGCCCAATCGAACCAGTCCACGTGCACGAGCTTGCAAGGCTATTGGATGATATCCGGTGAAGAGAGGTAGGATATCGGGTCTCATGAACTTGGCCGTATTCGGCCATGACACATGCTCTGAGTGGATGTGCTAAAGAGCAGTGCGTTTGCCAAAAGCTCGAGCCTGCGTTGGCGACACCCCATGTCCCACACAGAGTTTGCGTGAAAGGCTTTAGGCACATAGATAGCCAGCCAGCCATGACCTAAGCCCAAAGCGGTTTTTCATGGACGATGGCACGGAGGGTGAGGACGAAGGGGCGTTTCAGGGGGAAAACCCTGGGTCCTGAGCTGCATGTTTTCACCGGCCTTGCGCTTACCCCCAGAATCGTTCAAAAACGGGTCCGGTTTGAAAACAGCCACACTCAAAAGCGGGCAGAAGGTTAGGGCAATCCCAACCATAGATAGTCTTTACATGCTTCTGTGTCCATTTTAATACCGATCTGTTTTTTCTTCCTGTTCTTTTTCTTCTTCTTTTTTACCAGGCGTTGTTTATGCCTGGGTCCATTTTCTGAGTTCCCTTTTGTGGATGCAACATCCGTGGCAATTGTCTTTGGCATTGAGGTTCTCGGAAGGTTTGGTGAATATGGGGTTCGGGACTGGGCCCGTCATTTTTTTGCTTGGACCCCCATGCCGCAATGGTTTCCCTTTAAACAAACCACCTGAAAATGGTATCCAAACAGAAAGACGAGCCCAGGTGTTTCCCGCGCAGAAAAAATGGCATGCCTCCGCTTTGTCAGGTTTTTGGGTGGTTTTGGCTCGACACTTTCCTTGCCCAAGGGGTCCCAACTTTGGGAAGCAGCGGCAAGCTCAGTTGAAACTCTTGCACTGCTAGGTGCGGACCGCAAATGCCCGGCTTTCGTTTGCTTCCCGTTTGTCTGGAAGACTGTGTCCAAGAGATCCCCAAGTTTCTAGGGGTTGATTCCCCATTATTTTCAACCATCGTTCTTTTCAACAACCGGCTGTTTCCCCGGGGTGTTTGATGGTTTCCTGAAAAGAAGAATCCCTGGAAAGAATGGAATTGGAAGGCACCCCTAGAAAGTGGTTTGCCCTGCGAGTCACGTTTTTTACCGCAGGACCATCCACTTCTTCCGAGCCAGCGGCAGCGCGTGTGGCCGCGTCGGGCGTTTGGCTTCGCACTGCTCACAGCAACTCTGGCGGCCTGGAGGCCGGCAGCTCTGGAGCAGGCGGAGGCGGCGGTTTCGGGGGGGAGGGCTGTGGTCTCCCTGGTCTTCTCGCCCCAAACATGTGGTGAGGGAGACCAAAAAGGCACCTATGGTTGGGGGGTGCTTCATGAGGATTCAGCTCTGCATAAGCGCAAGTTGCTGTGCCGGAAGCCTTTGGCCAGAAGGGGATGTAGTGGGAACATGCTGATGGTTTTAAGGGAGTGCAACCGAATTCGGGAGGGCCACAATGATTCCAGCCGGGGTCAACGTTGCCCGGAGATTATGGTGAGGGGCACTGTGGGTCTATATAAATCTTGATACCCAGGTTGGTAGAACTGGGTTTTGAAGGGCGATTCTCAACTTGTTAGGTGTCAAAGGCGGGATATAGGAGTGGCACTATTGCCGAGGAATCCTCAATTACAAACTTGGCTTCCTTGGATTGTGGGCATCGCCAGGGAAGGGCGCCTTCAAACTAGCATGAGAATGTCCGAAAAGTCCGTGTGGCGCAGAACTTGACAAGAATGCTTCCGTCCAAGTCAATGAGTCCCAGCTGCGTGGCCCACTGACTTGACTTTGAGTGGGAATTGGCTGTGGGTGAAAAATGGGTATAATTGGAACCCTGGCAAGTGGAAACATGGACCAAAACCAGTGGTCCAATTCCTGGTGGTTCAATGTTGACCTCATACCCAATTGGCAATCGAGGCGGGGCAGCTTCCAGCTGCGAAGGTGGCCAACGTGAGCTTCATTGCGCTACGGCAGACAGGGCTCTCTGGCTGTCCCTTCAGGTGTGGGGACTGGGTGCCCTGCCTTCCCGGGCTGATAAAGCTGACATCTACAACCACCAGCTCATCTACAAGTACAACCACCTCCAGCAGCTCCTCAAGTACTAGCTCATCGACCTCATCTTCCAGCAGCAGTACAACCAGCAGCACCACAACCAGCAGCTCCACAACCAGCAGCTCAAGCTCCACCAGCACCACAACCAGCAGTACCACCATCACGACCACAACGTCCACGCCAGGCAACACGTCAACTACTACTACTACATCCACCACCTCCAGCTCAAGCAGTAGCTCTACAACCACCAGCACTTCAAGCTCAAGTACTACTTCAACTACGAGCTCCACATCAACATCGTCGTCGTCCTCCTCTTCGTCCTCCACGTCATCCTCCACGTCGAGGACGTTTCCGACTGTGACAAGCACAAGTACGTCGTCCTCGTCATCGACAACCTCAACGTCAAGCAGCACATCATCAAGCAGCACATCATCAAGCAGCACCTCATCAAGCAGCACCTCATCAACCACCTCATCAACAACAAGTACCACCACTACGCCCTTCATTTGTTCCGATGGATGTCAAATCCCACTTCATTGGCTTAACGATCAGTTCTGTGACTGTTCTGACTGTGGGGACGAGCTGGCTTGGACCTGTGCCACCTGCGGAGCACAGCCAGAGGCTTGACTGCACTGCTATTGGGCAACGGATCTTTAGACTTTTTCACATTATGGTTGAAATCATTTGGTGCTTTCCACTACTTTTTGGTTGAAATAAGAGGTGTGTTTTCCACTAATCCGCAAAACAAATTAAGAACTTTTTGCAGGGGGGTCGTTACAGCAACCAAGGATGATGCTCAGAAGATCGGCATCGCCGTGGGCACTTCAATGACGGCGGCCATAGGCATAGCTCTAGGCGTCAGCCTCGGCCTCACCACAGCGCTCGCAGCCGTGTTCCTGGCGACAGGGTCCTTCACCCTCGCCGTGCCAGACGCAGAAGCGTTCCAGGAGAATGAAGAGGCTGTGGCTGCCTTGAAGAGGACTCTTGGCTCATGAAAGCCCTCGCCACGAAACACCTTTCAGGAGTCTATTTGGCAGTGGCTCAAAAAAGTGGTACCAAAATGGCACCTTGGCAAATGGAACCAAAGACTAAAAACCGTGTAGCCTCAGCTCTTTAATTTTGAGCCATACCCATTTGCGGCGTATAGTTGGGGGGCCCTTGATCTGAGGACCGTCGCTCAAATCGCGGGCCCCGAGCGCGACGAGGCGGATGTCACCTTGATCCTGCCCTGCGCGGATGCGCATCGTCGGCTGCGAAGGCGGCTGGACGACAGCCTGGGCGTGTGCTTCAAAATCAAGGCGGGGATGTGCCGCAATGCTTCCCAATACCTTCTCCCCTTCTCTTTTCATTTCAAACGGCAAACTTCAATCCCACCAATGCCCCTATTTTAGGTAGCGCCCACCCATCTGACACAGTATGGTATGCGCCAACCGTTACGCCGTTGCTGTTTGTTCATGTCCCATTCCGTCAAAAGTGGGAGCATCTGTTGACAACTTACGTAGCATTTGCATGACGTTTATTCACCCAATCTGCATTGCTCGTGCAAGCAGCAAAATGGGTCGAGCTTTTTTGGATGGGTTGAAAGGAAAACCAACAGGAGGGTCCCTCGTTTTGAGCTTGGATGGTGTGACAGGAAACCGAACGGACATTGTTTGCATAAATTATCCACACAGCTAATAAATCTTCTTGAACCCTTTGTTGCTGCCTTTTGAAGCCGAAAAGAAACCAACTGAAGGGTTCCCTTGTTAGACCGGATGGTGCGAAAGGGACGCAAGAACCCGAAAAGGAACCCTCTCGAAGGGTAGTCTTCAAGCAGAAAGCGAATTGAGGCCATCTGAACCTGGCTCCTTTGGAGAATCCCTATAGACGCAGAGGCTCCCGATTGATGGGCCTTCAAACAACCTGGTGAGACCAACTGCCTCCTGGGGTCTAATGGAGGGGTCAGATCTTCCATTGAAAGCCCCAGGAGCCTCTGGGGACTATAGAACCAGGTTCTTAGTTCCCGTAGGGAAGCCGAAAGAAATTTGGTTGAACCGGTTTAATGTTGTGCCTTGGGCTCCCCTACTAAAATAGACTACAGAAAAAAGGGTACCCTTATTTGAACCTCTCCACTGGACCCAGTTGAGATAACACCGAAATCCATTGAGGCCAACTGCCAACTCCCTTTCATCAGGTCTCCAGGCTTGGCGTCACGATATGTCCAACGGAACCTGGCAAACTCACCTGAGCTGGGCCTCAAAAAAGGGGCGATGTTGGCCAGAGCAGGATTCTCACTGAAAGCCGACCCGTTCGACCTTTTGGTTTTCCCGTGGTCCATTTCATTATGTCCATGACTGACACCCTCATTTTACCACTATCAAAGTCACCCCCTAAGTCGTGGATTCAAGGGAAACCACCCCTTCTGACTATTCACTCCTACAAACTGTTAACATGGCCCCAGCATTGCGGCTGGTGTTCTACCCCTGACTTAACCCCTGGAAACCGTTGACATGGCCCCAGAACCGCTTGGTGCCCCAGCCGCGTGGATTCGGTTCCTAGGTGAAGGGCCAGGAGGCCTCCAGCAGCGTGTGCCAGCGCCTCACGGGCGTCGGCTCATCCGCCGCTCAGCGGATCCTCACCCAGGACCCGAGCGACGTCCCGCCGGCCGCCGCGGGGCCGGGGGTTTGGGGGGGGGGGGGGGGGCGGGGGATGGTCTCGGGCGGTGCGGCCGTTCCAAGGGGAGAGCTCGGAATTTTTGGTTGGGGTGCCCAAAATTTGGCCTTCCTCCGGCCCTTCGGGTTGTTGTGTTTGCTTGTAGCCGACGGCACCCCGGGAAGAACAACATATAGCCTATCGCCTATAGCTGAACTGGTGCCCTGGCCGCAAAGGGACGACAAATGATTGGAATCGGGGCATGAGCGACGGTCAATATTCCTGCAAATTCCTGGGGCCATTTTGTGGATTCCTTTAGTGGATACTCCCCTTTTGTGGATTCCTGGGGCCTTGCCGAATCAATCCTTCCCTCACATTGGGACCAGGCATGGAGACCTGTGATCGGCTATCTTTTAGAGGAAGGCCGGTAGGAAGTGGCCACCTGGTATGGAGCAATGACCACCATCTCATCCGCAAATGCAGCGGGAGAAGGCGCCAAAGGAAAAACATCGGGGCATGCGCCACATGTACTGAAAACGCTGAGCTGCGCAAAAGTGAGCTGTCACTGTGCGGAGCCACAGGGGGCATTGCCTGTGGCAGCCAGCCGTGGGCCATGGAATGTATTTTGACTGCTGCACACATGGCAGCCTTCCAGAAGGTCGTATTCATGTATAAGGGATGTCTGAAGGGCATACCTAAGTGTTGCCCTCCGGGCAACTTGTTGTCTCGGATCCAGTTGAGAGAATTTTGAGATCCGAGGAACTTGTGTGAAAGTCGATGGACCTGTTCGCCAGTTCCCGAACATGGGTTGCCAACCGGTTCCCTCCTGTGCTGCTGCACGGCTTTCGAGCTGGGGCCGAGTATTACTTTAAAACTGCAAAGTTGCGACATTCGAGCTGGGGCTGCGGAAGTTTGCTTCATGTACTACTTTTGTATTGAACAGTTGCGAGTTAGCGCTGCGGAAGTGTACTTCGTGTACTACTTGTGTGACGAATCTTGTGAACCTTGCCTGCTAAAGCTCCGCAATGGAGGTCGGCTTTATTTTCCGCGAAGATGGCGTTTCCGGGAAGAAGGAATGCCGAGAGCCCTCCGGCGACAGCCATAGTTCCATTTAGGTGTTTTACGACCATGTTGAGGGATTCTCAGCACAACTCTTCGTGGGAACCCATTTTCAACCTCCATTGGGAATTGGCAATTTTGAGCACGACCTCCTAAATGGGTTTGCCCCCAAGCTAGGAAGTCCCCCCACCCCACCCCCCCAAGTTTTTTGGCTTCCCTTTTCAAGAAGCAAGCCCAAAAAAGGCCAAGCCGATTCAGAGGAGCTGTCCAGCGTGCCGAACACGGGCGGTGTACGGATCATCTCCTTCGAGGCATCCCCCAACCCAGTGGCGAACAACCCCACGATGAACTCCGGAGCCGACGACTTCTTCGACCCTACACAAGCTGCTTGAGCCAACGTTCTCATTCGCGAATCCAAAGCGAATCGACGTTTCTATTTTTTGGGCATTCTTAGTGGCCCCAGCAGGTTAACCTGGGATTTCGTCCTTTGGGCAACTGATACGACAAGAAACCATGCATGTTGATTTCTCTTGAGGTGGATGGATTACATGGCAGTTCAACCTTGAAATAGGCGGATCGGGTTTTCTCCTTTTGAATTTTCAGTAGGGACGCTCTGGTGGACATCATTTAGGTGTTTTTTTGGTCCACCCATCACTTTCCAGGGGTTTCCTATTTTTGCGCATGGCCCTTTGGACCCTTTCGATTTCCGTCCAACATGTTTGACCCATCTTTGGTCCTTGGCCAAGGCTGGGGTGTCTCTCGGTGCCGCGCCCAGATAATTGGCTTCCAGACACGCTCGTGGCTTGGATGTTTAGCTGCTAGTCGCGGCATACCGGCGCACAGAACCCGAAAGTGAGGTTCATCAAGAGAGGATGGTGTCCAATGCGACATCAGCCGGTGGTTTACGTGGCTTGCACGTGGCTGGCTTTTCCATGGCTGAAGAGCCTTCTTTCCAAAGGGATGCAGATCAGAGTAGCCGAACTGCATCCTGCAAACAGAACGGCCATGAGTTTGTTTGACTGGAGATCAGACATGTGTCAAGGGGCCTTTGCTCCCATAATTCCTGGGCATACCAGGGTGCAACTGTTGGCTTTCACAGCGGGTCGCCTCCATTGGATGTGCTCCAGAGCCTGGCTCCAGAACCTGGATATGTCAAGCCGTCTTGCTTTCAGGAAACCAGGTGATAGCATTCTCATCCGTTCTCCAAGGAAACCAAGGCAACCAGAAAGCCGGTGGGTTCATTTTGCAAGATCGAGCCCTTGCCACTTGAAGGCTTATTTTTCACAGTCCCATTGATGTAAGTCGACCCCTCAAGCCTCAATGGCCGTTCCTGGCCAGGTGAAGCAAGTTCCGGACAAGTCCCACTCTGAAGTGTGCAAGCGTTCGCTGCTCGTGCGTCCGAAAATCAATTGCTTGCCTCGCGAAAGCCATGTGGTCCTATGTCGACCTGCGGAGCATGCGCTCGCTGCAGTCGCAGTCGCGCTCGCAGCACCGGCTGCTGAAATCTCAGGCAGCTCGATGGCTCTGTGGGGCAAGCTCAATTCGACCGGTTCACTTTGTTGCCCTTTGCTACCATCCCCAAAGTGTTCCAAGCTTTATTTGATGTGCATACCCAGGTCACTCCACGCCCTGCAAACTCCAAACACATCCTCCCTCCTTTGAGTGGTTGTTCACATATTTTTCCTTAGATGTTGAAAGATCAATATACACTTCAAACATTCTCCCTCCGTTGATGTCTTGTTGTTCATGCAACCGCCAAAACTCAAGTTATCTAGAATATGTATTCGGCGGACTTCGGTTTTCCAAAAGAAACTGAAGAAAGCTGCGGGAAGCGATGGGGGCGTCCCAAAAGCGATGCCCTGCTCTTGTAGGTATCAACAAACACAGAGTGGATAGGATATTGCTTGCGCTACTTGATCGAGGAGGTTCAGAGGAAACCCAAGCAGAAACCATCCATTTTCGCAAGTCCCTCACAAAATGACAGGTGGCGCGTGGCCACATGGCTGTGCTTGAAGCCAGACCACCATCATATCATGTGGAAACAAGATGCATTTCGGCGACGCCCAAAGCGACGCCCAAACGATGCCGGAAGCGATGCCTAACGGGCTTCAAGCTGCCCAGTCGCCCATCTGGGTGTTGATTTGCAGCAGAACCCTGCAATTGCAACAGCACCCCTGGGCAACTCTGAGTCTCGGCCTGCAGTAGCGCCGTGCAGCAGCATTGCAACAGCACCTAAGTCTCGGCCTGCGGCAGCACGCTGCAACAGCACACCCTGCAGCATTGACGCGCAAGCTGGTCGTGCACGTGGAAGAGCCCCAAGGGCAAACAACTAAGTCTAGTAGCGCAGGTTGGAAAACATACTACCAGTAGAGCCGGCGAAGCCGGTGGGCGGAAGTTTCAAAAATATAAAAACTATAGTTATCCTTCTCTTTCTTGTCTTGATTCTTGTTCTCTTCATCTTCCTTTTCACTGTTTCTCTATTTCTTCGTCATTCTCTCTTTCTTTCTTTCTGTTCTGCCTTCCTCCCTTCTTTCTTTCTTTCTGTCTTTCTTTCTTTCTTTCTTTCTTTCTTTCTTTCTTTCTTTCTTTGTTTTCGTTCTTTCTTATTTGTTTTCGTGTTTTCTTTCTTGTTTGTTTACGCCGTTCTTTCTTTGTCAATCTAAGTATTTATCGATTGATCTATCACTCTAAGTATCTCTTCCCTAAGTATCTATCTATTACTTTATCTAGCTACTTATCGGTCTAATCTCTCTATCTATCTAACCTACCTACCTATCTCTCTCTCTCTCTATCTATATCTATTTTTATCTATCATTTTATCCATCTATCTATCTATCTTTCTCTCATCTATCTAATCTATCTATCTATCTATCTATCTATCTATCTATCTATCGATCTATCTATCTTACTATCTTACTATCTATCTATCTATCTATCTACCTATCTATCTATCTGTCTGTCCACCTACCTATTTTTCTATCTATCTATATTTAACTATCTATCTGCATTTGTCTATCTACCCATCTATGTGTCTATCTGGCTATCTATCTATCTGTCCATCTACCCATCTCTGTTTTTTTATCTCTCTATCTGTCTATCTATCTATCTATCTATCTAGCTATGTCTCTCTCTATCTAGCTCTCTATCTGTACTTGACCTTGCGAAAGAGCTGCGCCTGCCACGAAATCTTTACTTGACCTTGCGAAAGCGCTGCGCCTGCCACCAAATCTGTACTTGACCTTGCTAAAGCGCTGCGCCTGCCACGAAATCTTTACTTGACCTTGCGAAAGAGCTGCGCCTGCCACCAAATCTGTACTTGCCCTTGCTAAAGCGCTGCGCCTGCCACGAAATCTTTACTTGGCCTTGCGAAAGTGCTGCGCCTGCCACCAAATCTGTACTTGGCCTTGCTAAAGCGCTGCGCCTGCCACGCAGTCTGTACTTGACCTTGCGAAAGAGATGCGCCGACCTGACCTTGCGAAAGTGCTGCGGGTGTAATGAAATTCAGCTTTTGCGAAACCATCGCGTTGCCGTGCCAATGGGCCCGCGCTCCGAGCGCGCTCCGGGACCGCTCCGAACGCGCTCCGACGAGACGCCGCGAACAGGCAGCTTTCAGCTCTCAGGAGACGCCAACTCACGCGCAAGGCCATGCTTTTGGCGCATTTCTATTCTCCAACCACAGGCACGCGCATATTTTCTCGCGTGCTTATTCCTTCTCTTGTCATCTGTCTCAGAGAGAGCTAGCTTTCAATTAGTTGCCGTAACACGGAAGTTCCTTGTAAACTTCCCTTGACCATGTTTACAAGCCTTCTGACTTGGATATTTGGGGCAATCCATTGCAACATTAGACATGCCCGTAGTTTGGCCACACATGTGAAAAACCAAAACGCCCAAAGCGATGGGGGCGTCCTAAATTGGCGGTGTCCGTTGCGGGCTACAAGGAGGCTAGACATGATGTCTTGTTGTTCACATATTATTTCTTGCATGTTGAAAGGACATCCCTAGAACCCGGCGCCCGGAGGCTTCCCTGCAGCGCCGGGTGTTGGCCACAAACCGCGCCAGCCACGGCAGCCAAGCGGCGAGTGGAGAGCGGCCCGAGCTGCCGGAAAGTGAGGCCGGAGAACCGTCTCCGGAAAAGATGGGAAATGCGGTGGCAACCCATTTTAATGGAGAGCCCAAAAGGCTACCCTGGAACTCTGGGGTGGGACCTCTTTGCATTAGAGACTGCCGGAAAAGGTTCCGAACTAGTCGGGGGCAGTGTTTGTCTTGGGGGATCATATGCAACCAACCTTTTAAGCAGGACCAGATCCAGCTAATCCGGCTTTTTGTTGTTTCACATGATGACATGATGATGTTTTGCTCGTGTTGTGCACTTCACACTGGTGGTTGCTCCTTCTCCAAGACATCCAGAGTCTTCAAGGCGGTGGCGCATGTTGATATGTCGTATCAGTGCTGGATTGCATTGAATCTTTGGTTGGTTGGTCGGCGGTTGCTCTCAGTTGCTTGGCTGCACCGTCAGGTTTGGGGGCCCAACGCTGCAAGATATCAACTCTGTCTATTCTGCTGATTGGCAGAATGCCAGCGGCTTACGCACAACACGGATTGGGCCCCGTATGAAGATGAGTGGAAGCTGCCAACCGCAATGAACTAGTGAAACTGACATGAATCATGAATCCATGATATCATAATCACGGGCCGCTTAAAGGACACCGCAACCGCAAAAGCCACATGGAAGCCCGAAATTGAAAGGACGTTTCGTGCAAGGGTCCTTTGCAGGCAGAAAGCAAAGCCTTGCCTTGCCTATGCTTTGCCAAGCAAAGCTTTGCCTTGATCACCTTCTCGGTTCACAGCCCAAGGGTGTTGAACCCTTCTTTGCCCTTCAGCATTAACAAGGAGGGCCTTTATGAAGACCTGCTTCTGTACCATATATATATATATATGTTGTAAATATAATAATAATATATATATGGCACATGTAACACCGAACATGGTGTTTACAGCAAGACAAAAGACCAAGACCCTGTTTGCTTTTCCACAAAAAACGCTGAGTACATCGTGTTTCGTTTGCCGCGCTTCGGCGTCCAGGTGGATGTCCTGAGCCGCATGACTCAGCAGGAGTTCCAGGAGCTGGTGGCAAAGCCCCCGCTGCTGGACGAAGGCGACGCGGTGGTCGCTTTGGTTGTCGGCTCGTGGCCCTTTGTTTGCGGGGAGACCTTTGGGGACAACGATTTTTGTTTAGGTTATTTTTTCTTGGTTTGGTTTTGGTCGTGGCCCTTGTTTTGGTTGAGGTCGCTTGGATTTCTTGGGGAAGCCTGAGTCATTGTTTTTGTTTCCTTTTTTTCTTTTTTTTGTTTGCCAGCAGGGTGGGAGCAAAAAAGGGTGAAGTGGCAGGGGAACCAAACGGTTGCTCTGTGATTGTCGTATGATTGTGAAGCAAAAGGTTGTTCTATGGTGTGTTGTTTAAGGTTGCGCCCCGCAACATGGCGCAACGGTTGTCCTTTTGGTTCTCCTCTACCATCAAAAAGGGGTACACTCAAAAAAGGCACATCCAATTGATTGTTCTAAGGTTGCTCTATGGTTGTGTTATGGTTGACCTATGTTTTTTTTCTATGGTTGTCCTTTGGTGTTCTTATGGTCCCGATCTTTTGGGATGGACGGGTGGGGTGTGTGGGTGTGGGTGTGGGTGTGGGTGTGGGTGTGGGTGTGGGTGTGGGTGTGGGTGTGGGTGTGGGTGTGGGTGGATGGACGGAATGATGGCTGGGTGAAAGAAGAAGGACACCATGAGTGCAATGTATGTGGGAAGGCCTGCCTTTTGACAGTACCCTTCAATCAGCGCACTCCCACTCATTGGAATGAAGCGTTAAACGCAGGTTTCTGTGTGAATCGTCTGGTTGAGCAATTGTTGGGTTGCCCCGCAGATAGCTCTTCAACGGAGGGCAGGCTCTATTAGTCGCTCCATCTTTGCCAAAATGACAATGTTGGCATGACTTGTAGTTTCAAGCTTAAGTTTTATGCTTGAGCAACATCTCCCGGAGGAGATTTTCAAGCCAAGCTCCATCTGCTGAGCATGGAGCGTGTACCGCTGAGATTCGATGGCTTGGCCCATGAGCAATGGGTTCAAGTTCACATTTATAACCTCAGCGAGATCCTTGGCTTAAGGCAAACTGCAAGACCCGAGAAGATGCTTCTGTCCGACAAACGCGCAAGCTAGCAGAAAGCTTTTTGAGGACTCCCATGGAGAGCCTGTTCACTGACCCATATCTGGATACACTCCTGACCCATTCAAGTGGAGGAGTCTCTTGGGGAATTGTCTGTCTGTCTCCGATTCAGCTCATTTCAGCTCAGGACTTTTGTTGGGCCCAACCAGATGTTGACCTTCTCCGAGGGCCTCGCCATTGGCGGCGCCTTCCATGTGGGGGTGGAGGCCGGCCCAAGCGCAGCCCAAAGCGGGAAGGCGGCCGGAAGCCGGCATCAAATGGGGAAACAACAACGTTTGGGCTCCAAGGAGTCATCCCTTTCTTACGGACCTGTTGTGTCCTCCACTCACCCATAACTTTCGGCATCTTTGCTGAAACAGGGCTTTCGCCACCCGCTTTCTTTCTGGATGGTGACCAGAAAAACCAAAAGCCGGAAGCCGTTGCCGCGCCGAAAGTGAAGGTCTATGGAGCTGAGTGGTCCTATGGGGTGTATGGAGTCGCTTGCGACCCTCCGCGCTCTGAAACTGCGCACGTCTATGAATGCAGCGTCTACGTGGGGACGACAGCAACTTGAGCTGAAGATAGCTCCAGCCTGGGAAGACAAACATGTGTTGACCCGCTCACAAAATGCTTCATCCAGTTCCCATGAGTGACCCTGAACGAGGCCCCCAATTTTCTACTGTCTCTGCCGGCGAACATGGAGCCCTTAAGGGGTCCTTCAAAAGGAGATTCCTCTGCATTTTTTTTGCTTTCAGAGGGTCATTGCCTGGAAAAGCGAAATGAATGGGCCCAAGCTGGCTGTACAAGAAGCTCAGAAAGCCAAAGAAAGGCTATGGTCGCTTTGGGTTCCACGGGAAAGTCGCCCAGGCGAAGACTCGCCAGGAAGTAGCTGAAATCCTTCAGGCGATGTGCAGCCAGTGGCGTGGCCGAGACTATGATGTGCTCAGCCACAATTGCTGCAGCTTTGGAAGGCGGCGACTCGGCTCAGAGGGGCCCCAAAAGTGAAAAACCAATGTGCTTCAGAGATGTGAGAGGGTGAACTTGCTAGGTTCTGGTTTGCCCAACGCTTCCCTGCTCCCCACATCCCTGCCAATTTGATTCCCCAATGTTTCTGAAATAAGGGACTCCAAGAGAGGACACGTTTCCTTTTGTCTCTCTTTTGAGCCGTTCCAAAGGGGGCGCCCCTGTTTTCATGACAGCCCAGTTGATGTCGCAAGTCATGTCCACATGTCGTGAACAGCACGTCACACACACACACGCGTTGAAGCATGGCACAAATACAAGGCAGATCACACATGCATGCATGCTGTTCATGACATGAGTCATCCGACATATTTATCTCTAGATCACGTGTGAAATTCATGTCATTCAGGGTTCCACTGCATGCAATGCCACGTGCATTTAAGATGCATAAAGCCATTCAATAGTTGTCCTGCTGGCACAGACAATCATTTGACAATCATAGCATAGTCCTCTTGGAGTCTCGCTTTGAGACGATGTAAGACTTGACTTGGTCACACCTTGCAACATGCAGGGGTGCCATTTAAAAAAAAATGTGTCCCTATGTTCGGCCGTTGTTTTTTCGTTTTCTCGGAACCACGTGTTCACTTGGTTCACATTTGGTGTGCATCTTCGCCCTTGACTACGGTAACGATGTAAAAATCCTCGGTTTCGGTTGAAGGTTGCCCAAGTTCGGAGGTGAAAAGTTTGGGGAAGCTCCAGGTTCGTGGAGGAGCTGGGCGTAGGGCCGATGCCTCTCTGGGTGGACCGCTTTGCGCGCACCTTGCATGCTGGCCGAGAAGCGGGTCGAGAGGCGATGGAGGCGCAAGAACTTCGCCAGAGTGGGTGTGCTGTTGCTTGCTGGTGCTCAGCAGGGAATCAAGGAATGACCCCTATAAACCATCCCATATGGTGTCCTTCAAGGGAATCCCCAGGCTCATTCCCTCATTCCCAGCACCAGCAAGGCTAGTCTTAGACGGGGTCCCTTTCGAACAACTTGTGAGATACATGTGGACCAACAGATCACCGAAACGCCTACTGATTTGGAGGACTTGACAGTTGATGTGGAGGATCCCCTTGCAAAGCAGGTTTTGGATGCAGCAAAGAACCGTAGAGCTGAACTTTTGCTCTACAGACGGCGGCCAAGGAGTCCCAAGGTCTTTAATCAGCGGGGCCTTTGGGTGCCCCGCAGGCCAGCAGCCAAGCCGTGCAGCAGGCGGGCTATGCCGTTGCGCTCTACGGGCATCACGCAGGCGCCCTTTCGGCGCTTCGGCCCCCAGGTTTGACCATGGCGAACTTGTCCCCTGTGCGCAATCTTTTTTTTTGGGCTGGGGTCCTATGTAAAGGAGCTTTTGATCAATCTTCATTGAAGCAAGTGTTTCATTGAGAATTCATTGCCCGGAGAGCGGCATTTGAAGTCGCTGCGAGAGTGGGCCATCGAACAGTACCCGGAGTGGCTGAGTTGCACCGCGGCTTTGTCAGGACAGGTCTTGCACAAGACCGTCATGGAGGACTGACCATGTGGCACGCAGCAAGCTTTGGCTTTCGAACGACCAGGATGTGCCGGTGTGGGTGGAAGTGGCGCGGCCCCATGTGGAGCGTGCAGTGGTGGAGACCCAGGTCTTCCTGGTCAGCCAGGGGAACAAAGCCGCCAGCCAGCAAATCGAGATCTGACCTTTCAGTTTACAACTTGGTCCATAGTCACGACCCCAAAAGGTGTTTACGGTAGACACCTTTTGGGGCGAATGAAAGTATTACCTTTTGCTTTTGGGTCCCTAAGGGGCAAATGAGGTGAAACGAAGCGCCGCACCCGAATTTTCCACAAAACAAGTTGGGGCTCGAGACCCAGTTTGCCCATGGAGTGTGGGTTTTTTGCCATTTGTCAGCTCTGGAACGCATTTTTGAATCTTTAACTTTCGGGTTGAAACTGCGTTGTTGGTTCAGGCTTGCCACAGGCCGGATGAAATAACTTCAGGTGTTTGCATTGCGAACTTGTACTTGAGGTCCCCTTTTCACTTGCGGCTCCCTTGTTTGCATGATATCTCAATTTGTGCCACCATTGCGACTTGGTCACCGAACATGGATCCGCGTGACCCCTGGTAGACCATTCTCCGCTAAAAGGGGGCCTGAGTGGGCAGGATGTGGTTCACTTCCCCCTTAATTGGTGGTTTGGATTTGTGGTTTGGGGTTTTGAACCCCAGTTCCTAATGGGGAAGGTGCCTCTCAAGGGAGGTGAAGGTTGTCTCCCGTTCACTGCAGGCAGGGCAAGCTATCCACCGCGTGGTCATGCACGATGTGCCAGTCATGGTGGAGACCGCCCGGCCCTACGTTGTGCAGGAGCGTGGATTGAGCCAAGTCCCCCCATTGAGTGAAGCAAACCAACGGGTAAGGGATGAGGCATTTTTGTTTCCCCTCGTGTGAGGTCGCTCGATGTTGATCCTTGGGGTTCAAGTTGATCTCAAGAGGCACTTCCCGCCATGCGTCCCCTTGCCAAAACCAACACCTTGAACATTGAGCCGGGAACATTCCCAAGCACAAGCAGCGCCTTCCGCCCCAATGCTTCCTTTGCGTTGACTTCTGCGCTGACTAGCTTGATCAACAGCTCAAAGGTGAAGGCCACCGGGGTCTCTCCAATATAAATAGCCGTTGGGCCATTATCAATATCCCCAAGTCGTTCAGCGGGCGCCCAAAAAAACAGGAACCGAGACCCCTGGTCGATAACTCAGGGGGCGCCTTATTGAGTCAATCAGGGGGTCAATTTGAGGCAAAGGGCCCCATCTGAATGGCAGTGCACATAGCTTTTCTTAGTCAGCGCAAATACGCCGATATGCATTGCGGAAAGTTGTTCAGGGAAACCAAGGAACACCGACGCCCCATGAAAACGATGAAAACGGGGGTCTCCATATGTGGAGACAGACCCGTGTACTCTGCAGATTCACGTGGAACGAAACACACACACACACACACACTAGAAAGTGGTTATTGGCTGGGGGTTGGGATTGCATATTCACTCCGGCACCTTGGCACTTTGAGTCCTGGTATTGTGGGGGCTTCTCCAAATAGAGGACTCCCCTTTTCACTACAAAGGGAGACCAAAAGAACGCCAGCCATCTTTAGGCTCCAAATTGGAGGTCCCCCATTTTTAGAGCTCCCTCTATGTTTTAGGGCTCCCATACCGGGAGTTGGTCGGGTCAGGTCCGGGAGGGTTTAGTCAGATACCTGGGTCGGCTACCACGGGTCAGGTACCTAGTGTTGGTGGCACCTTGACCTGGCTGGCAGTTGTTTCACGAAAGTATGTATGGATTCAGGAAAGGCTGGGTGGTTTCAGGAGGTGCCGGGTTGTTTCAGGAAAGCCTGGGTGGTTTCAGGAAAGGCTGTGTGTTTCATGAAAGACTGGGTGGTGGTTTCAGGAAAGGTTTGGTGGTGTCAGGAAAGTCTGGGGTGGTTCCAGGAAAGGTTGCGTGGTTTCCGGGAAGGCTGTGTGGTTGCAGGAAAGACTGGGTGCTGGTTTCAGGGAAGGCTGTGTGATTTCAGGAAAGGCTGTTTCAGGAAAGGCTGGGTGGTTTCAGGAGGTGCCGGGTTGTTTCAGGAATGGTTTCAGGAAAGGCTGTGCGTTTCATGAAAGACTG